GAAAAACGTCCTCATTTGAAAAAGAAAAAGATCCTCTTCCATCAAGACAATGCACGGGTGCACACCTGTGCAGTTTCGATGGCCAAAATCACGGAATTAAAGTTTGAATTATTACCACATCCACCGTATTCACCAGATTTGGCCCCCAGTGACTTTTTTTTATTTCCAAATTTAAAAAAATGGCTTGGTGGACAACGATTCACGTCAAATGAGATGGTCATTGCCCAAACAAATGCCTATTTTGAGGACCTTCCGAAATCTTACTTTTTAGATGGCTTAAAAAAGTTGGAGAAACGCTTGGAAAAGTGTATAGAGCTTAAAGGAGATTATGTTGAAAAATAAAAAAAAATCTACCTAAAATAATTTGTTTTTCTATCTTTTTCTAAGGACTTATTGAACGACCCTCGTATAAGCATGTCCACTTCTGTAAAAAGAAGAAATGGTGTTACACATTCTCAGCTTAATACCAGATCCATTACCTCAGTTAACAAAGTCTGCATTCTAGGTTAGGTAGACTCTCTTGTTTAAAATATATGCTACAGTCTAAAGGAGTTTGTATTAGATTTTATCTTGCTTATGAAATAAACTGCCTGTGGAGAATGGATAAAGTACTTATGCCATTTTAAAGTTCCTGATGTGATGATTATGCAAAATTAATGTACTTTTTGCAAAGCATCCATGTTGCAAGGAATTAAGTATATTGTAACATTTTACACAATACACATTGTACACCAATGTGTACAATGTGTATTGTGTCAATGTGTCTTAATGAGATAACACCAATACACGTTGGTGTACAATGTGTATTGGTGTTATCTCATTAAGATTATAAATTATTTTTAAATTACAATAATTTCTGCATATTACCATCAGTGATATATAAACTGCATTAGTATGTACTCCTGCGGAAAACATCTGAAATAAAAATAAAAACATAAACACATCTATTACAAAAAAACATCTTTTAAAAAGATTCTTCTGAGAAAATACATACAAATATATCTATCTTTATTATCTTTTTATCAAATAAACACATCTAATCCAATAATCTTATAAATCAACACACACTGTAATAACTCCATCTGTAATTAAAGTGCTTGATGGAGTTATTACAGTATATGTTGATTTATAAGATTATTGGATGTCTTTATGTCAGTAATAAATAATTAAATTAATTGGTTATTTCAGTAAAAATAAAAACATTATATAACCCGCACTTTTGAAATTGTGGTTAAACCNGAACGCTTAATGCGTTTGAAAACATTTTTAAATTATTAAAGAATTTTGCTGGATAGTTGAATGGTTTTTATTTTTATTAAAACAATTGTAAGTCAGAACCATAATCACATATTTTTTTAGGTGTTTGATCAGATTACATCAGACTTTTTTCTCATCACTTGTTCTTGTCATTATGATATGATGAGTATGAAAAATCTTATTACATGACCATAGCATTGAAATAGATTAAAATGTCTTAAAACACCCTGATAAAAATTTATAATTAATAAAATGTTTTCAATTCATCTATTATTTTATATTACTTGTAAAAAAACAAATGAAAAGAATATTTCAATTTACTATTTTCATACAGAAGTAATAAAAAAAATTCTATTGTACTATCTGCATTACAGGCATATAATTTCTACTCCTCCTCATACAGTGAAAAATTATAACAAATTAACAAATGAAACTAACATATTTAATATTGATAAAATGATGGATTTTTGTGTGTATTTAATTTTTTTTTTTTATCATCATGACATTAATTTTAATAGTGTAGTGAAAATAATGGCTTTATTTATGATATGAATATTTTGTTTCAGAAAATATTCAGCAAGTTTCTAATGAATCAATTTATAATCCTTGGCCATGGTATGAATTTACTGGAAAATTAAGGCCTTTCCAAGTAGTAAGTATTATCTTATGTATAGCAGATGTGTAATTAATTTAAATTACATATACAGTGTAGGGCCATTAAGCTGCGGTGATTGAGGTCCAAACTGCTTAACCGTGGCTTAGGTGGTCCGCGGCTTAAATATTTTTTGATAAAATTTTTAAAGCAAATATGATGTGCATGCTATAGATTCAGAAACTGAAGTGATTTACATTGAGTTTGTGACTCATATTTATACAATTTCAAGTTTTATGAGATTATCGAATTAAAAATAATACACTGTACTTTAAATACGAGTCGATTTTTTTGCGGATTTACAGTGGATTAACTTTGTAGCATTGTAAAGTGTGAATCGGTTATGGACTCCATAATGCTGATACTCAGCATGGATAAAACAGATTAATACTGTATTTGAATTTCATTGTAAGTTATTTTATTGTTTATTGATAGATAAAAGGCTAATCTTCTATAAATACCTCTTTGAACTTATAAGCCAGCATTTAAATATTTAATCTGCGATAGTGCTTAGCACGTAAATCATGGACATTTGAAATGCCAAATGACAGCTGTCAACACCTGTCTTGAGTGTTTGAGAGGCCATGTCCAGGTCCGTACAATCCATAGTGTCAAAAAATTGGGATCCAAGCTTTTTGCACAGCTTAAATGAATTTGTGGATTGCTGGCCCACAGCTTAATTAATGGTTCTACACTGTATAATAATGAATTTTAAAAGTATTTTAAATATTTGCTGTTTTTTATTAAATATTTTGATAACTTTAAGAAGTATTACTGTATTTAGTCATAATTCTAAAATGTGTCTAAAACTGTATTCATTATGACTGGTTATCTAATGTATTAACTTCAGTTAATCTTACTTGAGTGTTTGGTAAATTTTAGCATGGGCAATTGATGAACTTGAGATTAGTTTTCAGCACACTAGACAATCTTCTATGAGTGTAGTGCATATATTTGCATAAAATGAAAGATGTTTGTATCAAAAATAAAAAAATAAACTGCAAATTTCTGAAAAGGAAAGAAACCACCTCACTATTCAGGGGTGTCTGAGTTTTGGATAGGCTCAAATTTTTGTGTGTGTGTTGACCCACATATATGAGCCCCCATTTGACTGCTTCCATTTTTGGGTCTATTAGAACTGATAATGCTTAGTATGATTAAAAAGCCTTCTTAGTGCCTCAAGAAGGAGAAAGTGGTAAAAATAGAAGAAAAAAGTTATCTAAATGCTTAAAATTAAAACAGAAAAAATAGAAGAGCATAACATTTGAATGAAATTTGTCTTTTGATAGTATGATTGTCAATAAATAATAATTAATAAGTGTGGTGGGTGCAATTTTTTATTTTATTCAATTTATTTTAGTTTTCATTATTTAATAATTTTGAATTAATAAAAAACTTTTAATTTTTAAAATTTTTGTCTTTGTAAAATTTTTAATTAATTCAAAAAATATATTTATAGGGATAGAAAACATTATGCTTATTTTGAAAATACATTAACACTTCCAGAGTGGGGATGCTTACTCCTTATGAATGCTCATGCTGATTGGGGGTTTTTTATTATTTTAAAAAAATCATTGAAAAAGAACTAATGTCATGTTTTGGGATTTGATTTTTTGTACTTTTGTTAATATAAAACAATTAACAGAATAATTATTTAAAAAGAAAAAAATATTTTTAAAAATTTGAATAAAATGTCCTTTTTTTCAATTTAAAAATGACTGGTTAAAGTTATCTTCTTCTCTTTACTAGAACAAATCACAAACACACTATAACAAGGCTCACACTGGCTGTATTGCTGCTCAGAGTAATGACATTTGCCTAAGTCATTTTAGAAACGTTTTAAAAAGTAGGCAAAGTCACACCTCTTTGGATAGATATTTTACCAAGCGACCTCTATCCAGTGAAAGTGCTGGTGGAAATGAAGGAAAGAAAGCAAAAAGAGTGCATAAAAAATTTTAAAAAATATATAAAACAGAAAAGATAAAAAAATTAGTGTTAAGTTATTTTTAAGTTATTGTTACATTATGTTATGTAAGTTAAGTTTTAGTANGTAAAATTTGAGGAAAAATGAAGAAAAGAGTGACCCACAGGCAGCATCTGATCTAAAGTGGGCAACTGCTAAACAGTATTTGCTAATTTGTTGAGTGGTTGATTTACAAATACTTGGCTTTATAATATAAGCATGTCCACTTCTGTAAAAAGAAGAAATGGTGTTACACATTCTCAGCTTAATACCAGATCCATTACCTCAGTTAACAAAGTCTGCATTCTAGGTTAGGTAGACTCTCTTGTTTAAAATATATGCTACAGTCTAAAGGAGTTTGTATTAGATTTTATCTTGCTTATGAAATAAACTGCCTGTGGAGAATGGATAAAGTACTTATCATGCCTAAAACTTTCTTTCACAGATGTCATACCATATACATTTTGTAAAAGTCTAGAAATAGTGTTTCACAACAACACATCACAGTACAGAAAGATGTTGTACTAAGCACATGTCTTAGTCAGGAAACTGTTAAAAACAAGTACACAAACAAACAGCACCTTAAACAAAATACAGCAATACTGTATTTTTGCGGAATGACTGGCATACCACATAAAAATGGGGAGACAGCATGATGGTAAAACTGCAACTAAAACAAAATTAATCAGATCTAATAAAACTAGTTGTTAATTAAAGGTTAAAGAAAACATTCTTCCCAGTACTATAAAATGATAACATTGTAATCTGATATACTTAAAATCAGGAAGATAGTTTTGGTTTATAAGATAATAAAACAATTAACGACTTATTGACATTGGTAGTGGTAATAGTAGTTTAGTCAGTGTGTGCTACACTGACCATCTACCCTGACCTTAAAAATAATACTTTCCTCTCAAATTTCATACAAAGCCAAAGTTAATCAGTGTAAGCTGAGATAATTTACAGCAAGTTTCTTACATTTAATATGTTTATTTTTGTGTTTTTGAATCAAATAATAATAATAAAATATACATAAAAAACAGCACTTTTGGAATTCCACAAGTATTTTTGTTTTTGGAAAGAAGGCAAAATGAAGAAAATAAACATATAATCAATCATAGTTTTTGATCTAGTGGTGACAGTTTCACAGTTTTAGAATAAAAACTTGTTTGTTTTTTTTAATGCACCCTCTAGAGAGGGGTCTATAACCTCACTTAAATCAGCATTCCAGCATTTACCATACAGAAGTTTGGGCTCCCCTGGATAGACTGACATGCTGGTCATTCTGCAAAAATACAGTAGATTGTTCTGTACTTATTCCTTGACCTTGGTCTGACATAGCATTAGGCACAATTATATAAGCCAAGCATGACACATTTGACTAACACCATACTAACAATTAAATGCTAAAAAGTTAAATAGAAAGAGTGCTTGATATACAGAAAATGGAAGAGAACTAAATGTGAGGTTTTCTAGGAGGGTTATCATCTTTAGTTGTTTCATTGCATATGACAGATGAAATGTGTATGGCATGTAAAGGATTTTTCATAATTTTTAAATCAATAAGTGTCATACTGGAACCACACAGTATATAAAGACACAGAAAACACCTTACATACCTTTCCAGCAATTAATTTTTAATAAAACTAACATTTTTGGCCTGGTTAATAAATCTTCTTCAGGTTTTTGAACAAAGATTCTATTTTTAGAAAGATATTAAAATTATGTTTTTTTTAAAACTAATTTAATATTACAGTTGTCCCTCTATAGTCCGACGTTTTTTAATCCGACATGCTCAGTAGTCCGACGCACCTCCCGTCAAGGTACCCGTCCCCGTTACGTGTCTGCTTGCACAGAAGCATGTTGCGATGTGAATCTCCCCATCCAATTTTTACTCGATGACACACATTTCGTGTGTTTTATGTGAGCAGTTCTGTTTGAACAGTTGGAGTAGAGAATATTGTAAGTTACTGCTTACAATAATGCAAAACAATGCGAAATAGGTAATTATTTTCGGTAATCTGGACACTTTTGGTAATCTGACACACCTTTGGTCCCATACCTGTCGGATCATCAAGGGACAACTGTATTCCAAAAATAGAATCTCTGTTCAAAATGTTTTCAGTGTCTTTATATAATTTTTAAAGATGCTCTTAAGAATTTAGAAAAAGGTTTTGGATAGCTTAATTTCAATTGAGATTGAACAAATAACCTGCAACCATTTACAAGTTGACTTGATGTAATATCATGATGTTTAAATGTATGTTTATCACTGATTTATGAGTTTCTCATATTTGGCATTTCTTTTAATCCAGAATTACAAGAGACAATTAAAATTCCTGAAACTGCCTAACTCTTTACAAAATGTGATCACAAATGATATTGTATGTAGCACACATTAATTTGGATTGTCTACATTGCAGTTGATCTCTGTTTTGTATTAATTTTAGCTTATTTTACTGAACTTTAGAAGCTCTGGTTTCTAAAAAAATTACATTAGTGGTATGGAATGTAAACACCAGTTCACATGTCATATATGCTTAAAATAAGTTCTTGCAGTCCATAGTACTTTTGAGAGATGGGTGGCATGTAATTAGTGGTACAGGATGTACAGTCAAGTTAGCATTTGAATTTTGTTGTAGCAAAAGTTTGATCTCCAATTACAATAAACAGTTTTACAAGTATATTTTAACTTGCTAATTTTAAAAACATAAAACAACTGATAACAAAATTTATCCCTTACATTAAGCAGATTTAACTATTATTGTTTTCTCTGATTAAAAATTAAATAGATAAATATTTTTCAGTTTATTATAATTTAAATTAAATTTTTAATTTATTTAAATATTGATAATTCTAATAACTATTATTAATTCTAGGACATCCTCTAAGTGAACAAGCAGTTAAAGGTTCTACTCATATAAAAGTACTAGATGATGAGGAAATAGAAGGTTTAAAAGTTGCTTGTAAAGTAAGAAGTTTATAATTTTGTTACAGATCTAAATATTATAATTTTTTTAAAACAATGTGGTTACAAAATTTCAGTTAGCTAGAGAAGTATTGGATGTAGCTGCTAATGCTGTTGCTGTTGGGGTTACTACTGATGAGATTGATAGATTAGTACATGAGGTAATTTGGGATATTTGAATTTAATTGTAATTTTACAATAATCAGAAGATATATAGGATTTTAGTATACTGTTTATTTTAGTTGTCTAGTAGATATAAGGTTAATTCTGTGCCTTGAATATCAACAGTTACCATAACTTAATACAGAAAATAAACCATTTACCCTTTCATTGAAAATAACTGCTTTGAAAAAACTGTACCTCAATAATAATAATAAGACCAATTACATGTCTTCCAACACTCCACAAATTATTGACATCATGTATCACAAACAAAATATACAAACATGTTGAAGAACACGACATTCTTACAGAACAACAGAAAGGTTGCCGTAGAAATCACAGAGGATGCAAAGAACAATTACTCATAGATTCAGTCATTCTACGGCAAGCACACAAACAACACAGAAACATACACATGGCATATATAGACTACAGAAAAGCATTCGACAGTGTTCCACACAGTTGGCTGCTACATATTCTACACATGTACAAAATACATCCATCACTCATTGCATTCTTCGAAAACACTATGCAGCACTGGAGAACAACACTACATCTCAGGGTTAGTAACACTTCCATACAAACAAACGAAATATTCATTAGGCGAGGAATTTTTCAAGGAGATTCCTTGAGTCCTCTCTGGTTCTGCCTAGCCCTGAATCCATTATCCAACATGTTAAACAACACGCAATACGGCTACAATATCAGACACGAAAAAACAACACAGTTTACACTCTCACATCTCATGTACATGGACGACATAAAACTTTATGCATCCACACAAAAACAACTTCATCAACTCCTACAAATCACACATTCATACACTAAGGACATACAAATGGAGTTTGGCCTAGACAAATGCAAAAAACTTCACATAGAAAAAGGAATCCTGAAGAAAGAAGATTTTGCACTTGGAAATGGAGACGTTATTGAATCCATGGAAGAGGGCGAGTTCTACAAGTACTTAGGATTCCAACAGGCCAAACTAACAGAACATACACAAATAAAGCAACGATTAATTAAAGAATACCAAAGTAGGTTAAACGCTATACTTAGAACACAGTTAAATGCAAAACACACAGTTAAAGCAATAAACACATATGTCATCCCAGTACTCACATACTCTTTTGGAGTTATACATTGGACTCACACAGATCTCGAGCAACTCCAAAGGAAAACAAGAACAACACTTACTAAGCATAAACAACATCATCCTAAATCCGCCACAGAAAGATTAACCCTTCCACGTAAAGAAGGCGGACGTGGCCTGATTGACATAGTTAACCTTCACTACAAACAAATACAGTCACTGCGAGAGTTTTTCTACAAGAAACAAGAAACATCACAGTTACATAAAGCAGTAACTCTAGCAGACTCAAATAACACACCATTAAACTTACACTCACATCATACAGACATGACACAACACATAAAAAGCATAGACACCATCAAGCAATCGTGGGCTCGAAAGGCACTCCATGGCAGGCATCCTTATGACCTGGCCCAGGATTTTGTTGACAAAACTGCGTCAAACAGCTGGTTAGATCGGGGATGCCTCTTTGGGGAGACGGAAGGATTCATGATTGCCATACAGGATCAGGTCATAAATACTAAAAACTACAGAAAACACATACTCAAAGATACAACACTCACAAATGACACATGCAGAAAATGTCACATCATGCCAGAAACTATACAACACATCACTTCTGGTTGCAAGCTCTTGGCACAGACAGATTACTTACATAGACACAATCAAGTAGCAAATATAATACACCAAGAGCTTGCAAAGAAACACAAATTGGCAGACATCCACGAACCATACTACAAGTATATTCCACAGACAGTATTGGAAAATAACACGCACAAAATGTATTACGACAGAGCCATAATCACAGATAAAACAATTTACCACAACAGACCAGACATCACACTCATTGACAAACACAATAAAATCACATACATTATAGACATAGCCATTCCAAACACTCACAATGTACAAAACACATGCACTGAAAAAATTAGCAAGTACACAGAACTCGCCCAGGAAATAAGGCATCTGTGGAGGATGGATAGGGTGCTTATTGTACCTGTTGTTCTCTCCTGTACAGGTGTGATACCACACACGCTACACAAAAGCCTGGGAACATTACAATTGAGTAGAAATACATACATCACACTACAGAAGGCCACTATATTGAATACATGTCATATTGTTAGGAAATTCCTTAATACAGACACTGACACACACATTTAATTTTAGTTTTGTTTTGGTTGCTATGCCTTGACTCTGGTCCGGCATAGTACACAGCCACCGGTGTGTACCGAGTATAACCCACCAAACCCAACACATAATAATAATAATAATAATAATAATTTCAAAATATATCTGAGTGTTTTTGAACTCGTTAATTTATCTCAAGATTTGGATTTCTGAAATGATTTTCAAGCTGTTCAAGCATTAGGAATGCATTTTTAATTTTTCATTGGATTTAAAGTATATTAAAAGCATTAGCATCTGAATATCTTGAAATAATTTCTAGAAAGTAATCACAAACATCAATGCTCAAAATAGGATTTAAATCCATAATTTAACCTTGTATTAAATCAAAAGAAATGCCTTACAGTAGGTACAGTACATAATATATAATTGTCTGAAAGTCAATTATTGTAAAGATTGCTGTCTTATTATAATTAATTGTATAAATGTATAATACAAAATTACAATAGAAATTCAGTAATAATACAAAATTCAGTTTATGGTCCAAATTCACAGGTGTATCTGGAGCATTAAAAACAAAACATGGTTAACTGACATTTGGGACATCTATTTTGCCATTAGATCGTAATGTTTAACACTTTCTATGATGATTGCATTTACAATCAAACACAGTTGCAAAGAGATTGAACATGACAAATCCATTGCTTAAGATTACAAACTTAAAAAAGTAATATATAATATTCAGTGTATTTAAAAAAATAAATAAAAGCATTTAGCATTTATATGGTAGATAGTGTACTGTACATCATATTCCCCCAAGTATAGAGAGAACATCTAGATGACAACAGTTTAGAGATAATCTAGACCACCATTCAGAAAAATTTCATTGTGGAGATGATGATTCTTGTTTGCCATAGTTTAGACAGGAATTAGAAACTGATTATGTAATCTACTTTCTAAACTTCTCAATTGCAGATCTAGACAGTGTTTGAATTTGAATGGAAGTTGTCATATTGATTTGTTCATCATAAAGTTTAGATAAAAATGGATGCCATTCATTTAATAAATGTTACAAATAGGATTAACAAAAACTTATTTACCATGACAATTACAAAGGGAGAGTAATACAATATTGGCATAATCTTTTAGAAATATATTCTGAAGATAAAGTCTGAATTCAGTATAGACTTTCTAAATCTGGATTTGTTCATGTTTTAAATGATATTGTCAATGAAATTAAATGTATAAATAGAAAAGGATTACCATTAGCTGCCGAACAGCAGTTGTTGACAGTCTTATGATTATAGAACTATTACTGTTAATGACCGATATCTGGCGAATGTCAACATTCTCCAGTGAATGTCAGCATTCACACAGTCGTTTTGTGTATGTACGAAATATTTGCTAAATATCATTATTTCTCACTTTCACCATCAAATGTCGACATTCAGCTTGCACTGATGGTGAATGTCAAATAAAAATATTTTTATTACTGTGAGATCTAGCCTGGGGTACAGGGTAGTTTATTACTCCTGTATCACTTAATAGGCAAACTATTCCATGAGAATAGTTCTCAGTTGTCAAAAAGAATGGCTTTTCCTACTCCTAGGAAATCGAGTGCGGAGGGACTTATAGTTAAAATAAATTTAGAGTGGAATTTGGTGATGGCGAATTCACCTTCTTCCTCGTCAGGGCCTGACACCAGTTAATCAAATTTATATTCGCAGATTAACACGCGTTTGGATGAGATATGGATTTGATTCAGAGATTTAATGAGAGACATTTCTTTAACAAATAATAAGGAAAAATTAAATAAACTAAAATAAACAAAAACATACAAAAATGGAAATAGTTAAATGCAATCAATTTAGATAATGAATAAATCAAAATATATGTGCCGAGAGAGAGAGAGAGCTCACAAATTCATGATAAACATATAACCTCTTTAGTTGACTTTATCTTCTTCTTAATTGGTCGATTTTACTTCATTTCTCCAGTTCTCTGAGTTCTGTTCATGGAGAGGTCTTGATAGGCACAAAATAAAATATCTCTTCCGTGTTTCTAATTAAACTTATCTTTAACATGGAGAAATTATGTCTATGGACGTTGGCTTTATGTATACGATACTACTCCTAAGTGCATTGGCCTTAGTGAGCCTATATGGAATGCGTCTGGCTTTGATGAGGTCCTACGGCGTACTCCCCGAATCAAGCAGATCTTTGCCTATATCCTATGATTTATGGCCAAACAGCTTATTTGTCTTCACCCACGTGAACGGATGAAAAGGGGAATTATTGAGGGGTTGGCAATTCCCAGGATGGTGAGATTTGTAACAGATAAGTGGAAAACAAAGGATGCTTCTACTTCCGTCAAAGGAAGTGACTCTTTTATCAGTTTTCCCACGTTAGAAAACCGTTTATTTCACATCAAATTGAAAGAATATTTTTCTACAAAAATTTAATTTTATTTTTAAATTATTAGTTAGACCCAGGGGCTATTCGGATCTCACATTACGTTAAGACAAAAATGCAACATTTTAATATGTCAAAATAGGAGAAAGCTTAAGTAACGGCACTTGTAAATAAACTGTTGAACCTAAAACGAATAGTATGTTCTAAATCAATAAAGTAAATAATACAATAATAAACTTACACATCAATTATTTGATTGACATTATACAATTTTATTTATTGCAACAACTTAAACTGTTATGGTACTTTGAGTCCCTTGCTTTTACAACTGCATTTATTTGTGGAACACTTCTTTTTGCAATGACAGCGTGTATAGCCTCACCCTCCACTTTTCGAATTAGCTGTAGCTGCTTCTCTCGGTGATATTTTTTGAGAAGAAATCTCATCTATGAAAAGTAACTTTTCTTTACAAATTATGAACTGATCTGTTAATGGTGTCTTTTATTCGGATATTGCCGACGACCCCTCTCATCCTCTGCCACTCGACCTAACTATCCAATTCCCACCTCACGGGATCAAAAGAACAAAAACACCATCTAGTGACAAAGTGGGCGATTTCCACCAAACCGTTGCTGGGAAAAGAGGTACAACCTTGTTCTACTTCTGACTACCCACAAAGGATTTGACAACAGACTGTCGCCTCTCTGTCGACATCGGCTTTTAGGATGTCATTTCGACCTTCAACAAAGCTTATCTGTGCTTGTCGACATACACCAGCGATTGTTCGAATGTATAATAATATAACCAAATATTCGGTCTTTCACCGACGTATTTTATGTGTGTCAACATTCACTGGAGAATATTGACATTCTCTAATTTTGGTCTTTTACAGTAACAGAACAATTGAAAAGACACAATAATTTTACAGATAACATCGATTCAATTTTCAATTCAAGATAAACTTTTGATATTTTTCAAAAATTAATTTTTTAAATAAATTTTAAGGATTGGTTCTACTAAATTCTGATACTGAGCTTACTGATGCTTTTTCTCCTTTTGGCTATTAAATTTTTCTTTATTGTTTGACTAGGATTGTTAAGATTAATTATAAAATACATATTTATAGCTGTGTTACATTTTGTTCAATTTCTTATAATTTTTATTAAACTATGATAATGCATATTTATAGTAAAGCATATTTTATGCATGATTTTCAGGCTTGTATTGAGAAAGAATGCTATCCTTCTCCATTAAATTATTATGGTTTTCCAAAATCCTGTTGCACGTGAGTATATTTATTTTCTTTTTTTAATTAACAAAATCAATAAAATGTAATTCATTAATGAAAAAATGCTTCATTATATATACAAACAAATTAAAAATTTATGTGATATTGTCAATTAAATTAAATGTATAAATAGAAAAGGATTACCATTAGCTGCCAAACAGCAGTTGTTGACAGTCTTATGATTATAGAACTATTACTGTTAATGACCGATATCTGGCGAATGTCAACATTCTCCAGTGAATGTCAGCATTCACACAGTCGTTTTGTGTATGTACGAAATATTTGCTAAATATCATTATTTCTCACTTTCACCATCAAATGTCGACATTCAGCTTGCACTGATGGTGAATGTCAAATAAAAATATTTTTATTACTGTGAGATCTAGCCTGGGGTACAGGGTAGTTTATTACTCCTGTATCACTTAATAGGCAAACTATTCCATGAGAATAGTTCTCAGTTGTCAAAAAGAATGGCTTTTCCTACTCCTAGGAAATCGAGTGCGGAGGGACTTATAGTTAAAATAAATTTAGAGTGGAATTTGGTGATGGCGAATTCACCTTCTTCCTCGTCAGGGCCTGACACCAGTTAATCAAATTTATATTCGCAGATTAACACGCGTTTGGATGAGATATGGATTTGATTCAGAGATTTAATGAGAGACATTTCTTTAACAAATAATAAGGAAAAATTAAATAAACTAAAATAAACAAAAACATACAAAAATGGAAATAGTTAAATGCAATCAATTTAGATAATGAATAANAAAAAAATGTAAAAATAACTTAATGATGAAAGGAATATCTATAAAAATGCACAAAGAAAAGATACTACAGTGTTTTTGAGTGAATCTAACTCTTATGAGTAATTTAAGAGTTTATAAAATGGTTAAAAAGGTTAATTTTTTAAGTCTGTTTTTATGAAATATTAATAGAAATAGGGGAAAACATAATGAAATAAAGGCTAATTTCATTTTATTTCAAGGCATTTTTGTGCTCCTATATTAGTTAAAAATGTTGAGGTTGTATTTTTAGAAACTTAAAAAATATATTAATTTTACAATTTATTTCAGTTGATATCACTGTTTATCATCGTGGATTTCATGGAGATTTAAATGAAACATTTTTTGTTGGGAATGTAGATGAAGAGTCCAAAAAGCTAGTCAAAGTAACACATGAATGCTTAACAAAAGCTATTGAAATTGGTATGTATTTTGTTTATTTCTAATTATCTATTTACACTTTTAGAGAAATCTTTAATATTAGAGTTAACTCATTATTTAATAGATTTCATTACATTATTTTATTATAGAAAGTTATCTTTATTAAAATCAGCTATTAATCTTGCTATTCAAAATATAATTAGTCTGTTTTTTGAAATTTTGAAGATATAATTACATACATACAAAGCCATACCCAATATCTGTCAAATGATAATAATTTATTAATTAGCCATATTGGACTACAATATGGCTAATTAATAAATTATTAAGATCCTAAATATTTGGAATAGAGATATATCTGCCATCCTATGTTAAATTTAATCATTAGAAATATATTAATATAGGTTCAGTGAGTGGTCAGTATGATTTTATTTTTTAAATTAATTGGTCTGGAAGGAAAGTTAAGATAGTGGTCTAGTTGGCATAACTTAATAGTCATTCAGTTTTACCAGAATTAACAGATTCCTTTTGGAATCTGTTAATTCTGGTAAAACTGGATGACATAAATGCTTAACATAATTTAAAATGCTTACAACACTCTGTTTATTGTGATCAGAATTTTGATTATCATTATCTTCAAGTAAATAGACAAAAGGCTATATATTTTATTACTATTTGCTTCAATATATACAGGTGATTTGCTAATTATGACTCAAATTTACGATTGGCTGTCTTTTGTTCTACTTGTCGAATATAAATCAAATTTTGGAAACTGGTAGATGTTGCTGTTCTTTGCATTCTAACAATGTTTAAGTTTGATTGTTCAAACTCAAAATGGAGGCAGCAGTTGCAAGTGAAGTTGATGTGTGCATCAAGCTTCTTTCCAAAGAAGGTCTTCCATCCCGCACTGTTATAAAAGTCCCTCAGAAGAATGGAAATGAAGTTTTCCAGTCTACAATTATCAGAGTTCTTGGTAACAAAATGAAAAAGTAACAAGCGAGGGGCAACTGTGTCTGTTTTGTTTATATTTAAACATGGTTAGTTACAGATAGCTACATAAGTAGTGTTAGCCTGCCAACATGAGGATTTTAGTTTGAACTTGATCCAAATCCCATAATTTATTATGTGCAGCACGGATGGGACATTGCTCTTCATTCTTTATCTTTACTAATTCCATTGTAAGTCATAATGGCTGTCAAATACAGGCCAATTCTTTCACTAGGAAACCCAAACATTACTTGGTAACTTTTTTTATAGCTTTAAGGTTTTTTAGGACCATTTTCAACATTGCTTTAAGAAGACCTTGTTTTGGAAGATATAAGGTAGGTGCATGTAAATTTTTATAGGAAACATAATGCAATAAAACAATTATAAAGGATGGTATGATTTCTTTATACAATATTGCTCAATCACTACACAGCAAAGCATTTCTAAATGTAGCGCTATTGTTTAGCAATCATTTCTAAACGTTTGCTGCAAGCGGTCACTGCAGAAAAGATAAAACAGCTTTTTCATTCACTACACATGCAAAGCAAAATGGACGCTTGTATATATAATGTGATATTATGCTTTGAAAATAAAAAAGTCAAAATGACTTGATAAAAATATTATGGAAAGATTAAGAAGGATTAAATTTTCTAAAATGACTCTGAAAGTCATCTAAAGAATAGGAAAATACTATAACTTGAACATAATTATCTATCTTCTGTCTCTTTACTTTGTTCATATTTTCAGAAAGAGAAATACTCAATTCTTTATGTTTTTTTATTTGTTATATTGTAGTTCTTTAACTACAACACTACATTTTGTTGTAACTGGAATTAAAGAATGGATTACAGCATCCATTTTTAGCTTGAACAGAAAGTGTTTCTAAACTAATTCAGCAGTGTGTAATGATAGTTGCTCTTCATATCATTTTTGGTACACTCTCACTATATAAAGAAATGTGATCAGTGTTTGGGTCTTCTAGTCAGAGAATCACTCTACATGTCAAATGCCTGTAATGGATATAATTTTGGCCATGAATATAGCCTGCAATATACTGATGCTTTGCATTAATCAGTTAAACAAACACATTGTTTGTTTTATTGTATTTGATCAAATTTGTATTAATAAAGAATAAATTTCTTATTAGTACTTTACTATTAATTTTCCAGTTAAACCTGGTGTGAAATATAGAGAAATTGGCAATGTCATTCAGAAGCATGCTCAAGCACACGGTTTCTCTGTTGTAAGAAGCTTTTGTGGCCATGGCATTCATAGGTAGGTAAAGTATAAAAATGATTTATAAAGAAGTAAACTATGGCAGAAATTAAAATTATCTTTATGTAAAATTTATTTACAGGTTATTTCATACTGCTCCAAGTGTACCACATTATGCAAGTAAGTATAATATATGTTACATATGATATTTATAATGATTTAAACTAATATATGTATTCAAGGATAAAAAAAATGTAAAAATAACTTAATGATGAAAGGAATATCTATAAAAATGCACAAAGAAAAGATACTACAGTGTTTTTGAGTGAATCTAACTCTTATGAGTAATTTAAGAGTTTATAAAATGGTTAAAAAGGTTAATTTTTTAAGTCTGTTTTTATGAAATATTAATAGAAATAGGGGAAAACATAATGAAATAAAGGCTAATTTCATTTTATTTCAAGGCATTTTTGTGCTCCTATATTAGTTAAAAATGTTGAGGTTGTATTTTTAGAAACTTAAAAAATATATTAATTTTACAATTTATTTCAGTTGATATCACTGTTTATCATCGTGGATTTCATGGAGATTTAAATGAAACATTTTTTGTTGGGAATGTAGATGAAGAGTCCAAAAAGCTAGTCAAAGTAACACATGAATGCTTAACAAAAGCTATTGAAATTGGTATGTATTTTGTTTATTTCTAATTATCTATTTACACTTTTAGAGAAATCTTTAATATTAGAGTTAACTCATTATTTAATAGATTTCATTACATTATTTTATTATAGAAAGTTATCTTTATTAAAATCAGCTATTAATCTTGCTATTCAAAATATAATTAGTCNATAATGGAATTATAGAGTCGTTTAATATAATTAGTTTGAAGTTTATTGTATGATCTGTAACTTATTATCACTCTTAGGCACTTGGAGAGAGGTGGTTTGGCCCGACAACTGGACGGCAGTCACACAAGACGGAAAGCGTTCGGCCCAGTTTGAACAGACTCTTCTGGTTACGGATACAGGTTGCGAAATTTTGACCCGTCGGCGTGATAAAAATGGTCAACCATACTTTATGGATAATTAAGACCAAAATGATCAGTGATATAAAAAATAGGATTTTTTTTTCTTCTTTTATTATTCTGAAATTGTGCATTTGAAAATTATCTGGTTGGGTAAGAAAGGCACTTTAAAATACAAATAAATATTCAGATTGTGAAATTAAAAAATATATATATTTAATTTGATGAAAGTTAAGATTTATTAATTACTAGAAACTTATTGCCATTCAACCCACTGAAAACTTAATCAGTATTAACTTCTATTACACTTAAGATTTTATTTATAACTGCATAAAATTTTATAAACAAACATGGTTCATCATTTGTATAATTCAAAATTTAGAATGTAATTAATTTTAAAAGAAAGAAAGCATAAATAATTATTTAATGAGCAATTAAAGCTTCTGAAAAACTACTGAACTGTTTATTAACATGATGAATGACATTTACAGAATTAATCAAATTTAACTTAAGTATTTCACTTGATTTTTTTTAAAGAAAAAAAACGTTTGAAAGCTTAATTTTTAAAATGCCTATTGAAATTCCTTGATTTAATTCTGTAAAGTTTATGAATATAAAATTCATAATTTTTACAGGAGTAATAATAATTGATTTACTGAAATGTGTCAATTTTTTTGTAAAACATCTTAAAAACAATTTTTATTTCATATGTTAAATAAATTTCTGTTAAATAATTTGTAAGATATAAATTTATGTTTAAATCTCTTAAAATATCTACAAAACTATATATTTTTTTCTAATGTTTATTGTAATGTAAGAAATGTAAAGTTATCTTTTAATGTAATAAATCATTTCAGTATTTTCAGTTGTATGTTGTTAATTTTTGAACATAATCAAAATTGTTTGAATTCAAACTGAAGGTCAAATTGCTGAAATGGTAAAGGAACAGATCTCAATCTCTTTAGTATTCAGAGTTGAGTTTAAAATTTTTACAGGATTGTCATGGAAAAGTTGAGTCCTGGTTATCATCCAGCTTCATGACCCATGATGGACATGGGGAAGAAAGAGCCTTCTGAATGGTACTTATGCTCCATACTTATACTATATTCATATAACAATAATGCTTAAGAACAAAATTTAAATCAAAAAGATTGAATTGAGTAGTGATTCTAATTCCAAATATGGATTTGATATCAACTTGAATCATCTTAGTTAATGAATTAAAACATTAAATGAGGCATACAGAAACTAAAACTGTGCTGCTTCGACCCAAATTCAGATTTCTCTGGGGTTGATTGCTTATGAGTGTCCAGATCATCTATAGAAATGGCATGACTCTGTCAAACAAAATTGGTAAATACAAAAATTGGACAGTTGTATTAAAATCACTACATCTTTAAAAGGTCCTATTTGTGGTACACATTTGGGACATTTTTGAAGTTTGTATTGGGTTCTCTATAATAGTAGTAAAGTTCTATTACACTCCTCAAAAGTGAAATTGTAACTAACACCTTGAAGAAAATTTACGTAGCCATGTGTAAATTGCAGGACCAGTAGAGATATGCAAATAATTAAGTTTGTGAACACATTAGGTCATGTGGTACCAAGTTTTGAGCTATAAAGACCAACTGGCTTAGGCCATAAATGCTATCAGTGAGAGTTTATGGCTGCCAAATGTTTGAAGAAGCATTGAAAATGCCTCGGAGACAACAGCGAGCTGAATACCATCAGTTAATGGCTGGGGAATGAGACTATCCTGCAACTGCATAGCCTCAGTTTGTCAATATGCACAGTTGTTGGGCATGATGTCGGTACCACCAGTGATGTGTGACATGATGGACGCAGGAACATCTGCAAACACAGAAGAGGGAGTGGATCACAACAGTGCACAGACTAACAGATTTGCTGGACAGCCTGTTGGAATCCTTTTGCCATGGCAGGTGACATCTGAAGCCCTGTTGCCATCAATGAGTGCATCTATGTCCACTCAAACCATTCACAACAGGTTGCATGAAGTCTGGCTGCATTCATTGCAACCAGGTGCCATTAACCACTTAATATGCTTGCATACTTGGCATGATGTCATCGTCATCGCAACTAGACTATTGAATGACATCGGGTATTGTTTATGGGTGAATCCCGCTTCTGTTTGTTTGGGAATGACAAGTGTTGTGGTATCCTGGGGAAGACTGCATGCCAGCCCTTTTCACCAAACATCACACTGGGCATCATGGTTTGCCCTACCTGGAAAATTTATGGACGCTCCTGATAATTGTGCAGATACTGTTGATGAATGCTCAACAGTGTATTAATTAACAGTGCATCAACAATATTTGCACAATTTCACTTGTTTGCTCAACATGATGCTAACGATCATCTGCATACAGATAGCACAAAAACGACATTTCGTATATAAATAAGCGAAATCAGGACCCATCGACCTCTTGTTCTTGAGTTGTGCGTGGAACAGTATCTGGACATTCATTCATTCATTCATTCATTCATTGTTTATTTAACATACCGTAGTACATACCCGGTTCCGCGTGATGTACTACCGGGTTACAGTTACAGTAAATTGTAAGTACTACAATGTAGGAGAGAAAATTATACAGTACGTAATGGTGATGAAGAGAATGTAAGATACAATAAAATACAAATTACAGTAAAAAGATATAAGGTTATGTGGTGATACAGCAATATAATTCAAAGGCTTAAGCTCTAACATAGAACATATAAAATATACAATGAGTGTAACAGATGAACGTACTGGACAAGTCACATAGACCAAGTACTGTAGAGCCCGACAAGTGGAGGAAGAGTTGAACGTGCATTAGAAATAATGCGCGGAAGGTATATACAGTATCTGGACAATATTTTCGTCCAAAAAGACTGGTTTGTCAATGCATTTTGAATGGTAATGGTACTTATAGGCTTCCTGAAACTCCAAATTAGCCTGCCGAAACATTACAATCTCGACAAGACACAAGATAGTCATGCATTTGAAGGAATGTCTCCCAACAAGTAGTAGTTACGACCCGTGTCAGATCCTGTGAAAAGGCGTCACAGTGACATTCAACAATATGGAGTTTACAAGAGACGACAGTCTTTCATACACTCATTGTGACTTTTGTGGCATACTATCGTTAACTTAGCATCAATAATCAAGACAATGTATATGCCATTTTTTGTTCTCGTGAAATAGATGAAAGTGAAGTGATGCAAGTAGGCAGATACACATTCTGTGAGACATTGGAATAGGATAACGTAGAGTTAAGATGTTTCAAAAGAAGATTGTCTCTGAAGATCTCCGACTATATGAAGATCATGGGAGAACTGGCGCACTAGAATCAGGCTTCACGTCAATTATTTTCCCATACGAGCGCCACTATTGTAAAGAGAGAGTCAGAGAACGGTTATTTTTGCAATGACCTGTCAGCAAAATGTACAAATATTTTGTGTATCAGTACAGCTGCCACAGAATACTGCCCAAAGTTAGTAGGCAATTCTATAATAAGGCTTTCCTTGAGGACTTTAATTTGTGCTTTCGACTACCTCTGAAGATATGATACATTTAGTACATGACAAGCACCATGTATGAATATTACCTTTTCAGAATTGCACTTATTGGCTAGAAGCATCTCCAAAGAGCAGCCCGAGCAGTAATGAAAGAACATTCATGCATCAATGAAAGAACATTCAGCCAAATAGCTAGACAGTAGCTCTCTTTTGATATGTAACAGGTTATAAGTCTGCCTAGGATAACACGCAGAGATGTATTACAGACACCAGCTGTCTTGTTATAATTTAGATATTCATACATTTCATGACAATGCGGGATATATATTCCTGCGGACAGACGTAGGTGGTGGCTGCGGCGAACTAGAGTTTTTTTTGTTTAAAGTTATGACAGAAACTGCAGAAATCTAGCTTTACGGTCTGACAACTGTGTAGGTTAGAACAAAAATAAAATTATGCTAAGTATGATGTTTTCACTTATTTCCAGTGGCCGACTTACAAGTTTCTACTTAGACTACTATTTTATGCTATCTGACTCAGATTTTGGTCTCATTGAACAATACTGGTAGGATATGGTATTGTTAAAATTGTTCAGTCAATTGCAGAATCTTGTCCATCAGAACCATTTGAGATTAACGTAATGGATCACTTCCAAGAATGGAAGACTAACAAGGGGACCTTACGGTCTCGGAAATTCAGTTCGGGATGAGACTTCGCAGGTTAGTAGTATACCTCAAGGGTATCCACCCAGAAAAATTGTAAAGCGCACTAGATAGAACATTCCGAGAAAAGGGGCTCTAAATATCCAGCTCATATACTCGTTGACTTTACACTATGGCAGTGCAGCAAAATGGCTGATTCTGTAGCGAACTCGCAACGCGGGTGATCTAGGTTTGATCCTAGCCTTTGCTAACTTTTCTTTTTTTTTTAATGGTTTTAAAAATTATACAGTTATACCTCGAATTACGTCGTTCCCGATTATACGTCGTTTGTCAAAAAAGTATACGGAAAAATAAAAATCAAGTTTAAGTCATTTTATTCGACTTTACGTCTGTTCGCCTCAAATATTGAAGTCGTAATATAACTAGAAAAGCATTTAAAGCACATAAAATCATATTAAAATATATACATTTACAAGTATGTACTGTATTTACAGTACTGTACATACATTCGTAAATTTAGATTACTTTTTTCTGTACTATATTAAAAACTAAAATTTATTTGTTTGTAAGCTTAAAATAGATCCCTATTAACCATATATTATTACAACTGCATTAATAAAATACAGAACTGAGAATGGTAATTTATGATTTAGCCAGTGGCATAGCGTAGTGGGGGCGGCAAAATTTCACAATAAATAATAATAATATCTTGTAAAAATTTGAACCATTTTAATCTAAATTTGCGTCGCGCCTGCGTTAGTGCCATCGTCCGGACAGTCCGGGAATCGACTCACTGTCCGTGTGAACTAGTAATTTCGTCCGACGATATGCTGCGCAACCTGTTGACCTTTTTCTTTCTTTCTTTTTTTTTGCTTGTACGATTCATTCGTATTCATGTACACCTCCAATATCCA